AATTGAAGGCAAATTGTCTTGATCAAGGAGACAACAAACAAAGTGAAATATTTGGAAATATTTAGAAATGGTTTTTTTTACAATATAGAAAATTTAATAAGATCTTTGGGCTGAAATGAATTCAGTACTGTAGACTGGATTGAAATGAAAGAGCTGGACAAGTTTTGCCTTTAAAAGAATAAGCAGAGATATCTATGACAACAGAAAAGAGGCAAAGATTATTAATGTTTCAGAGTCAAGACATGAAAAATGGGATTGCATTACAGGAAAGTAAATTTCAATTAAATGTTAAAAAAAATAAGAAAAAACTTTGAATTAAGAGCAATTACCAGTGACTTGATGAGCTCTTGTTTACTGGATGTTTAAAAGAAGAAACTAGGTATCCATCTGTCAGTGTTACTTTAACATGGATTCCACTTACCAAATTTAATATAATCCAATCCTAATGTTTCTGCAGCTTTCCTTTTCACAGATTTCTGATAAATTGCCCTGCCCAATTATATTCTGCTCAAATATATTATATAATTAACTGATAAATAAGAAATAAAAACCAGTTTAAAAACGACAATTTGGCCCAAATTAGCAGCAAGTTTGCATAGCAAAACATCTTCATCTATGATTTGGATGAGGGGATAGATGGGGAGCTCATCACCTTGACAGATGACACCAAGCTGGCAGGAATAGTCAACACTCCAGAAGATAAGCTTTTAAGATACAGAGTGATCTTGACAGACTTGAACACATGGCACTATATAACAAAATGAAATTCAATGGTAAAAACAGTAAGGTTCTACATTTAGGCAAGAAAAACCAGATGCACAGGTACAATATAGGTGGTACCTGGTAAATTGGTAGTAATTGTGAGATGAATCTTGGAGTCCTAGTGGACAATCATTTAAATATGAGCCAGCAGTGTGCTGCAGCTGCCAAAAAAGCCAACACAGTTCTAGGCTGCATTAACAGATGAATAGAATTGAGATCACATGAAGTTTTAATACCGCTTTATAATGCCTTGGTAAGACCATACTTGGAATACTGCATCTAGTTTTAATCAGTGTTAAAAAAATGTTGAGGCTCTAGAACAGGGGTGTCAAACTCATGTTGTCATGGCGGTATCACATGACATATCAGGGCTTTCCCCTTCGCTAAACTGGATGTGGGCATGGCCAGCGTGTAACTCATCCGGACTGCGGGCTGGGAGTTTAACAGCCCTGCTCTAGAAAGATGCAGAGAAGAGCAAAGATGATTAGGGGACTGGAGTCTAAAACATAAAGAAATAGTTACTGGAATTTGGTATGTCTAGTTGAATGAAAAGAAGGACTCAGGGTGACATGATACATTTGTTCCAATATCTCAGGTTTGCCACAGAGAAAAGGGATTCCAGCTATTCGTCAGGCAGGACAAGAAGCAATAAATGGAAATTAATCAAGGAGAGGAGCAACCTAGAACTAAGGAGAAATTTCCTGACAGAACAATTAATGAGTGAAACAACTTACCTCCAGAAGTTGTGAATACTCCAACACTGGAAGTTTTTCATAAGAGATTGTACAATCATTTGTCTGAAATGGTATAAGGTTTTCTGCTTGGGCAGGAGGTTGGACTAGAAAACCTCCAAGGTCCTTTTCTAACGCTGTAATTCTAATTCTAATTTTCTCTATTTCATTCTATTCCATTCCATTCCACTTCACTCCACTTCACCGTTCATAAAATATCCAGGTTCTTCCATGCTTTAAAATAGATCTAGGCTGAAAATATCCTATGATCACTGGATATCAGCAAGGAGTTGGTGTTTTATGGCTTTCAGTATCAACACTGCTTGCAAAAATTCTTCATGCCCCTGATGAAATAGACAAAAGCTCAGGAAAACATGTTTTAGAAAAATACTAAAATAAGTAACTAATCAAGCAAGCTGGTTCTCACAGATCCATAGGGATTGTTCCTGCTTACACCTAAGTACTTAAACTTATTTATAACATTTAAAAAAGAAAAGCAAAAAAATAACAATTGACTTGAAGTTGCAGGTATGCTGCTCAAGATACCCCCTTCTGGCAAACTGAGGTTATTCTTGGTTTGTTGAAACTGACATCAAATCACTGGGAATGCAAATGAAGCTTTTAACAATATTCAAACAGGGATTAACTCATGGTAAAAAAATCTATTGATCTAATTATTGTTAACATTACTAGAACAGAAGTAAAATTTTAAAAAGCAAGTTAGAATCAACAGTTGTTAATTTCTGTTGCTAAAAATGGCTTTCAGTTCAGGTTTTCATGTTTATAATTATATTCTGTTTGCATAGACCAGAATGCCTATGTTCACAAGATGACTTCAGTTTCTTAAACAAAATTCTTTGAATATATTATAAACAACTGGGTTCCTGTGAAACCTTTTGTTTCAAAAGGCAATAATTCAGTATATTATGGACAGGTGTTGACTGAGTTTATACAACATGCTAAATCATATGGCTTGTATGATTTGGGTTAAATGTATTTGAATCAACCTTGTCTGTATTATCTGTTCCTAGCCAATTAAAATGTTAATTTATTCAGCAAACCACAGCAAGGCAAACCATGGTTAAAGATGTGTGAACATAGTAAATTATGGCATGTTGCTCAGGAATATTTAAACTTCTAGTGGTAGGCAAAATGAATATTTGTGTTTTGCAATTATGATTGCATGGCCTTCTGCGGTAGTATTTGCATAGATATTTCCATTGGGTTTTACTTTAACTAGCTTTGATAGTCTCTAATCCTTATACAAGCTCAGCTCAAATATTGGGCCATCTCATTTCCCATAGCAATAATAGCATAATCTCTGTAGTGTTCGTTCTCCTGAGGGTTTTTATTCATCAGTATTTTGGTTTATGAAACCCTGGAGGTGTTTCCCCAGGAGGAATCCGTAGTAAGTTGTATAGTACAAAAGGTAACTTCAAGTCAGTCTCAAATCCTGATTGCGGTAGTTCATGAATTAATTCACTTAGTTTTCTTGCCAGGAATACAAAAAGGTACCTTCATCTCCCCCCTCCCCTTTTTGGGCCTTCCTAATCTAGATGACAGCTGTGGTTTCCTGTAGGATGTTAGCAACCCCCCCCCTTCTAGAAAAATGAAATAGTCTAGGAAATATTAAAAAAGCAGAATATTATATTTCCTTGGATGAGAAATGGAGAAATATTTTTTTAGGCAGGGAGCAGACTCACTCTTAATCGCCCCCACCCTCCTCAATAGCCCACAGCAGATGTCAGCATTTAAGAGATAAAGATATAGCTAGGTCTATTCATAAGCAGATGCCCTCACCCAAGATCCAACAAAGGTAAGATTAGCCCTCAGTCATAATAGGAATTGCCCAAAGCTCCTTCATTACATAATCACCCAGCAAGATTCAACTTGGCACCGTGGGAGTCTGACAACCAATCAGAATACATTTCTTACACAGGAACAGGAAGCTCCAAGGCAGGGCCCAAGAGAGGGTATAAATCTATCTCCCTCTCTCACCCAGGTGCTTTTTTTTTGCCCAGGACCTCAAACCAAGTGGTCCTGTCCACCATTAAACAATCTTTCAAAATAGCCTCCATGTTTCCAGTGTCTTTCTTCCCACTTGGAACTGAACTCTGATGGATATTTCTTCCAACAATTCGCTGGTGGTTTCCCAAAAGAAGACCAATTACAATATGTTTAGTTTCTAAGTCCAGACAAACTTGACAGGTTGTTCTGCCTGCTAAGGGCAATTTACCTGGGGTTGTTGGAATTAGTCCTTGTAAAGCACTCTGCTCTGATAACAGATGGATAGAAGAGTCAATAATAAAATATGGAACAGGAGGAACATTTGTTTATTAGTTTGCTTTTCTAACTTTATTGAACATAAGCTTGCAACTCAGTACATCTTTATAGACACTTAATATGTAAATGCAATTTAGATGCTGATAGATATTTGTAGCTCAGAGTTGGACTGCTAGTACTGTTATCTAGTGTGGTAATGAAACATTTACAAAAATCCCATCAGACTTAGAAAGCACCAAGGACCCCATACAATGAAGACAGATAATTTTTGTGAGATGCATGCATTGAAAAGGAATGTAAGGAACCAATTAAGAAGCCCTATATCGACATATTTTAATAACCATTGTTCCCCATGCTGATTGTTATTAGCCTTTGAGATTATCATTGTTGTTCTGCCTGTTCACAATCAGGTAACTCAGTGTTTTTCAACCACTGTGCCGCGGCACACTAGTGTGCCGTGACATAGTGTAAGGTGTGCCGTGGGAGAATTACTTTATATATAGTCAATATAGGCACAGAGTTAAATTTTTTTAACATTTTCTAATGGTGGTGTGCCTCGTGATTTTTTTCATGAAAAAAGTGTGCCTTTCCACAAAAAAGGTTGAAAAACACTGAGGTAACTTGAACGTCCTTGGCCCAGGAATTTTGCAACATGAAAAAATGATGAACATTACCTCGTTTGCTTGCATCCACAGAACCAATTGCACAATATAATTAATTTTACAAAACCGTTTAAATTGGTTGATCAAAGTCATACTGTGTGTATATCATGATTAGTTACAACAGGAAGACTTTCCCACTTTCAGACACTCTTAAGATTCGTAGCTGTGCTTGGTGGGTAGGGAATGACGGACTTGCTATGCATCTAAGTAGCTGCAGAGGTGAGATGAGGCTTAATTACAAAGATTGCAATAATCTATATACTTGGGTCACTTTATTTTGGAATCTAAGTGCTTATGACCATGCTCTAAGGCCCAGCACTTCCTGAGAACTACAATGAAAATCTTTCATAGCGTCTTGATTTGAAACGCTTTTTTGAATCCAGGCTTGATTACGCTGTGAGCGTTCCTATAGAAACAGTGCCGTATTCTGCTGTTGCTTGGACACATGAAGCAACGAAATGCGCATGCGTAGGCAAACCCTCTCTCTCCCCCCCCCTCCCGCCAGTCTAGGAAAGCGCCGATTCTCCCCTTTTGATCGGTCTAAGCGCCGTTTCTCTATGGTTTTAAGGAGATCATAGTTTCGCGTCAAGGAGAGAGTGGCAGCGACGCGCGGAAGCTAATCATGGCGGCTGTCGACATAAGAGGTATTGGAAGGGAATAGCGTGGGGTAGTTGTAGCTGCCTGATACTTAGGTATAAACAGGAACTATCCCCACGAAACTGGGAGGACCAGCTTGCTTGCTTGCTTAGTTACTTTTTTATTTTAGTAGTTTTCCAAAGCACGTTTTCCTGGGCTATTTATTGTCCGCTTCCATCAGAGGCATGGTGTGTTTCCATGAACCGCGTCGAAAGCCACAAAACGTCAACTTCTCCCTACTATCCAGTGATTGTAGGATATTCGCAGCTTAAATCTATTTAGAAGAACCAGGGTAGTTTCTGGACCGGAAGAACTTCAGATGTTCAGATCCATTCAGATTTTTTTCTGATTTCAAATTAAATCTCCAGCATTTGGGAGGGGGAAGACACCATAGTAATTAGTCATGCAGTCTGACTAATATTGGTTAGCAAAATTGTACAAAAAAAACTGTTATGCTAGTTTTCTTCTGAACAAATGATATGTTGGCTTGATTTGTTGAGTGCAATGTAGCAATTGTATATACATTTTCTAGTCTGTGGAAATTAGATAAATATTGCACATGAGTCAAAATGAGAAGACCAGACTATATAATACTTCATTATCATTTAAATAAATGTTCATGCTTTGAAGTGTTGGGTTCAGTTTCAGGAGCTACTTGGATGAGTGAGACAGATACACAGCAGAGATATATATATAGTCTTAGAACAGCAACTATTTTAATTTTTAAAGCTTGTTAGATGTTAATGAAACACCTATGTAGAAGTTGTATTGTCATACCATTTATATACTATTAAATTTCTCCTGAGAAATCAATTTGGTTGAAGTTTTTCTAGCATTGCAAAATGTTGTGTAATAGCGAATTAAATAATTGGCTAATTTCTTGGATAAACATCTGTTTTATATTATGTTTAACTTTTATCAAATCAATATGCATGAAACTGATAGGGATAAATTGTTATAACTTTACAAAATACAGTGTCTAAGCCATTTTTAAACCCAGCTCCAAGTTTTTCATGAAGAAAAATTTATGTGTATACTGTATGTGAATCAAGTCACTATAGCTTGTTCATACTATGATTAAAACAAGCCATGTTAGATTAAGTGAAACCAGTTTTTGTAATAATCTGAGAATCAAAACATACTGACAATCCAGGCATCTGTCAAACCTTGACTCTATAAAAAAGAGAAATTTCTTCCAGTTTTGTAGCAGTGAAAAAGACAAGAAAGTCAGTTGATCAGATCACTCACTATTGACAGCTACCATACAAAAACTATAGTAACAGAAAAGACAGACCTTTAGGTCTGGAAAGAACAAATGAAAACCATATTTTTAATATATTCCAAGATCAAGCTAGAATTAATTTTAAATTATGAGGGTTTTTTTGTAATTTAGTGCAAATCATAAATATTTTTAAGTAGAGTTCAGAAATAATCAAAAGCAATTCTTAAAGAAAAAAAACAGCTGACACTCATTGGTTAATATTAATCTGATCCTGTATTTTTGTTTTAGAATATCAATCTTCTGTTAAGCAGAATGAGGCCCAAACAGACTTGGGGGGGGGGGGATTCACTCTAGAGCAGTGACAGAAAAGGGATGCCTCTGGGTTCCTACAGGATGCTATTGTTTGATATTGGAAGCCAGCATGCTCACCATGCTAGATCTGGATAGCAGACATAATTATGTAAGGATGATCCCTTAAACATTCATGTCCTGATCCTTGAAGAACTTGAGAGACAATAAATAGTACCTTGAATTGTACCCAGGAACCCAACTACAAGTAGCTCTAAACGTATGACCGGTTGGTTAGTGACCATTCAAAGTTATGATGGACTTACCTAGGGAATACTTATGACATGGATTTGAAGTTTCTGTAGTTCTGCAGTCACATGACTGCATGTTGGAGACTTAGTAGCCAGGTCACATTTAGCCATGATCACATGTTTACAATGCTTTTGCCAAAACCCGCTGTTTATTTTCTGTTTTTGGCAAAACGAGCCTATAGCAAAACATGGGTTCACTTAATGACCATGACCCAAAAAAATGATTGTAAACCATCACTACGTAAATCATTATAGGCAGATTACCTGAGGAGCCAGTGTGGCCCATGAAAGAGAGATGTGTACAGTTTACTAAAAAAAAAAAAAAAAGTCAGTGGAAGTTTCTGTTAAGCCGTCCTATCTTGGATGCTTCTGTAATGTTTATTTTAATTACTTTTTAAGAAGTAATTTACCCCAGTAAAAAAACAACAACTGTTTTCATAGAAAGGAATGGAGCAGATATATTTACATATGATTGTCTGATGTCTTCCAAGAGCTAGAGAGCAGCACATGTATTATTCATAGACCTATTTATGCTGCATTAAGCGTGGCTTCCCAGCCATCTGGGTTTTGCTTTCTAAAAGATTTCTGAAGCAGCATATGCATTTTTTATGCAACCATATATCACATCTTAGGTTGGATTTCAGGTTGATTCAAAGCTTCCTTATCAAGAATCTGCTGTAGAATAATGGCTATGAGAATTCTGGGTTTATAAGTAATAATAATGCTAAAATATCTCAGATTGAATTAGAATACTTCTGTATTCTTTTTTCCTATACATATTAAAAATATTTTTTTTCACTGAAAAATCTCAGGAGATTGTATTTTTTAAATATTTAAAATGGCCTTACCCTTTCCTTAATCTTTTATATTGCCCCGAGATATGTTACACTACTAGACTATAATAATGCAATACCTGAATTTTATCTGCTACATGTAACATTTTTAGGAATGTCATGTTATCTGAAGCTTCCAAAAAGCTTGGTAGAATTAAACAACATAAATATGGAAGAGGGAAGGAGACCCAGGGTACATACTGGAATCATAGGCAGGGGGTTGGACTAGAAGAACTCCAAGGTCCTTTCCAACTCTGCTATTGTATTGTATTGTATCTGCAGGCCCATGAGACATAACTTATATAAAGTGCTGCCAGCCACGCTACATTTACATTGGATCACCCCACTTCTTCCCTTCTTGTGTTCTTTTGTCCCTATAAATCATGCTTTCATACTGCAGCCATCCCCAAGGTCATGTGATCAAAATTCAAAGGATGGGCAACTGACCCATGATAGTTGCACATGATCCCAGTGGTCATGTGATCACTTTTTGCAACATTCTGACAAGCAAGGTCAGTGGGGAAAATAGATTCACTTAAAACCCATGTTAACTTCAGTGATTCACTTAACAACTGGCAAGAAAGGGGCAAAATTCACTTAACAAATGTTTCGCTTAGGAACAGATTTTGGGCTCCATTTTGGTCGTAAGTCAAGGACTAACTATATTCTGAATTCAGTTGTTATAGGAAAAGAAAGAAAATCTATCTAAATGGTCAAATTTGTAAACCTTTTATCATATTCACTATTCCTATCATTTTTATAAGCTAAAAATTCCCAGTGTCATATTTTTCTTATATCTTCTTATGGCATCCTGTTGGACATAGAAATCATTGGAGTGAAATGATATTCTAAGTATATTACTATAGGTTATGGAGTGGTAGTGTGGCTTTGAATTTGTTTCCTTTGCTCAAAGATTTCTGCTCTGATATTATTTATCAGTTTGATGTATTGTTTTTTTACTGCCATAGAACTCAAGACCTCAAATGCAAATTTCTTAGGAGACCTCCAGTGTTTGTGTCAGATATGCTTAACCTCAGCAAGTTTCTGTTTTGTGTGCCTTGGGATTAAAACAAAAATTTGTAAATGATAGTTTAAATGTTTTACTTTAAATATACAGTATTGTTTAAAGATGCGTCAGTGAGTAGAGAATGGATCATCATGTTAAAGAGATAATTTATTGTATTATTGTTGGACTGATGTCATTAATATATAAGTTTTTGCACTGGTTATCTCAGGTTGGTTAAACTAAAATAGGTTTTTTTTAAAATGCCATTGGTTTTTCTGAATGTGAAACTATGTTTCTCTTTTTTCTCCTTTTACTTCTCTCTTGCTCATTATTTTACTCTTACAGATAATCTGCTGGGAATTTCCTGGGTTGATAGTTCATGGATTCCAATATTAAACAGTGGGAGTGTATTGGACTATTTCTCAGAGCGCAGTAATCCATTCTATGATCGAACATGCAACAATGAAATGGTCAAAATGCAAAGGCTAACCTTGGACCACTTGAAGTAAGTTGATGTAGTATTACAGGCTAAATTTAACATATATTATTCCTTTTTTGCATTGGAAAGGCTGCTTGTTGATGTACCATTTTCACATTAGTAAACAGTTATTCAGAACCTTCCCAGGTCTTTTAGATTTGCTGCTATTATCTTAACTCCTTTCATTTACTTCCTATTAAAGCTGCTTTTTTGTACATTCTGAAACTTCTTAATTGAGTCTTTTCTTTTTTCATTTTTCCAATCATACTTGAGATTTTTGAATTGCATTATGGTTTCTGTTTCCTGATATTAAAGATTAAATTAAATTTATTTAATTTAAATCAATATGCTTTTAAATTATTGTCTTTCACCTATTTATGTGCAGGAGGGAGGGGGGGAGAAGACCAACAGTTGGTAAATTTATTAAAGCTGTATTAATATAAATCCTCACTCTATCAAGAGCTATTGTGGAGGGGAAGGAAGAAATTACTCACTACGTAATGATTTCTGGATTACCTTTTTTCAAAAAGGGACCATTCTTTTTTCTCTACACTAAGATAGCTTATAGTTTCTAGTGTTTACAGCATCTGCTATTGTTTTGTGTCTCTAAATTTAGCTCTGTCCTTTTATTTTTCAGTCAAATGGTTGGAGTAGAATATATTCTTCTTCATGCACAGGAGCCAATCCTCTTCATTATCCGTAAGCAGCAAAGACAGAACCCAACACAAGGTAAGGCTGTAGACAGCTGTGCTATTTAGAATATAGCATGTGACCTATGACCAGTCTTTCCCAGTCTGCATGTTCTTCAGGCAGACCAATTTCAAGATTTTTTTTTTATGTGGCTGGAGAATTTGGGGAGCTGAAATGCAAACATCTGCATGTTGTCTAGATTCTGGAATCTTGCCATTGATACAGATTTTCTTTATGCAGGCATAGTACTTCCATATAGAGTGGTGGATTATGTGTCCTCTTTCATTTTGCACGGAGCACTGGCTTCTACAATGGCCTAAATAACTTCTTTCGGTTCTGTGATTCTGTAAATCTAAAGTAACATTGTATGTTATTCTCCAGTGCTCCCATCTTGCCTCACAGCCCTACCTACTTGTTTGTTGGGACAGACTGCATAAATTCTGAGCAAATATATTCCTATTTTTGAGCAAGGAAATTCCTCCTTTTGATTATGTCAATAGAAGAAGAAATATAACCAGAAACAATTCTATCCATTCTGATAATTTGTATTGTTATGTTTTCTTCTTAAATCTTGCTTAAAATAATTGGTTTGGGTTTTTAAAAAAAAAACAAAAAACTGGGGCTCTGTAAAAGATTTTCATTACCTCCTACCATCTAACCCAATTTGAAATAATAGTATTTGCTGTGGAGGACATGTGGATAGTATTGGAAGCTGTCTTTGAGGCTAACTTTATCTTTTTGCAACAATAAAGGAATGCCCTCTTGTGGTAAAATGCAATATGGGTAATAAAATGAGCTTTGTCTTCAAGCTGTTCCTCTTTTGGGTATCTTATTATGGTACAGATTTTTATCTGTTGTTATTATAGTTAAGATTTTATCTGGCCATGTTTGTTCAATCTTACTGCATTTTAAATCTCTATCACTGTTACTTTTGAAGTGTAATGCCAATTATTTCTTCATCTGATTAATGGAAGCAGAATTTGGAGAATTTATATATTACTGTTTCATTACACTGAAGTAGTTTTAAATACATGCCCATAAAAGTAAATCTACTGAGGATGTAGGCTTTAAATAGTCTTGTAATCTAGCTATATTTCAACTTCTTTACTGTTTTATGAAATAAATTCAGCAATTGCATCTATTATATATCTAGAATGGATTGGTTGACTAATGCTATGCTTCTTTTAAAGTTGTACCATTGGCTGATTATTACATTATTGCTGGAGTAATTTATCAGGCACCTGACTTGGGGTCAGTTGTAAACTCAAGAGTGGTAAGTTTCTATGACACTTATTTTATTAGAATAAAAAAAATGCCCACAAAAATGTGGTTTGGTTTCTGGTTCTTTGTTTTAATTTAAGCTTCCCCTTTTTTCTGGGGGAAAAGTCTATAAAATTGTAAGCAAAGGGAGAAAAATGAAAAGATTTTACAAGGTTGACTTTTCCCACAGGCACTGGGTCAGTGTGAAGTTGGAGCATGAGTATTATATGGTTGGATGGATATGAGATTGTGGACCAGACCCCAGGCTCCTTTGTCTTTAACTTTATTACTACAGTGAATCACCTAAAGTTGTGTTTTACACAATGGCTAGCCATATAAATCTTTTAAAAATATGAATAAGTAATCAGATTGCATTTATTTCATTGATCCTTCCAGAGACGGTTTCTGGAGACTGCACGTTATATGAAATCAGAGCCATAATGAATGCATACACCTATTTGTCTGATAACATTTCCCCCCACTTTTTTTGGTATCCTTTTTCCTCTTTTCCTTTAGATGTTGCAGGGGCAGTAAGATAGGTCTAGTCAGAGGTCGGCACTGACCTTTTATACTGTACTGGGGCTTTAAAACTAGGTCAGAGACTATATAAAATTAGTCTGAGGGCAGATTATCACTCTTTCTTTACCTCCTATCTGTTATTTCCTCTTTACTGAAGGGAAGTTTAGCAGATTGCTCTCTTTGCTCCTTTTAGCCCAATTTCCATCCTCATTTGTAATGACATAATTGGAAATTGTATCGAAACAAAGTTTAGAACATTGAGTTATGTGTGAAAAATATATGTTGTGAATCAGTCCATTTGGCTGGCTGAAATACTGTACAAAGAGAGAAATCACACATTTTCTTACAAATTTATATTGTCCAGCTCACTGCAGTACATGGAATCCAGTCAGCTTTTGAGGAAGCTATGTCTTATTGTCGCTATCACCCTTCCAAAGGTTATTGGTGGCATTTCAAAGATCAAGAGGAACGAGGTAAGATATTTGAGGCTCCGGATTTCAAAATTTATCCTTCTCTTTTCCTTAGGAATTATGTGATTGGTCTTGGTCTGTATACTTCAGTGAAATTCAATTAATGTTGCTGTCACTTTATATTTGTAAAATAATAGAATACAGAATGAGTAAAGTATTCCAGGAAATGTTGTGATGTTCCTCACTGTATTTTTCCCATTTGATTGCAGGTTCTGGTTTTTTTGCATTGTATTTGCCTACCGTGTTGCTCCAAAAATAAGACAGGATCTTATTTTCTTTTGACCCCTGAAATAAGCACTTGACTTTATTTTTGGGGAGGTCCTACTATTTTTGAGGTGCAGGAGGCAGCGAGCGTGGTCACCTCACAGCTGCAATATTTTCGGGGAAGGCTTATTTTGCGGGGAGGAATTATAGCGCATGCGCTCAAAAGCCGGATTGGGTTTATTATTCGAGAAGATTTTATTTTCAGGGAAACAGGGTAGATCACCAAGCAAAACTGTCAGTACATGGCAGAGGGGAGATTTTTTTTTGGCTGGGTTGTCACAGAGCCTAATTAGGTCTCTCTTAAGATCACCCAGTTGGTTTCTATGCTTAAGGTTGGTTTAGAATCTGGATCTCCCTGCTACTAATCCAGTATTTTAATTACTAAATGATTCTTAATTCTTACTCCAGAAATATCATATATCAGTATAATATTTCTGTATAAGGAGCCAGGTTCTTCCATTAGTACTTACTGTTTTAAAATGTATTCTCAGCTACCCAGGGCTGGCAGAATTATCTTCTACCATCTATTTTTTTTTCCTGTAGCAATACAAATTGATCAAAGTCATACCTATTTTACCTGAATTGCAGAATACCAAAAACATCCATCTGAGTTTCATTTCTCAGTAACTAGAATTAATTTCCCCTTATGCTTATAAATTATGGTATCAAAAAGTTGATATGCTTCCATTATGATCTCCATAACTTTATTTTCAGATAAAGCCAAACCAAAAACAAAGAAGAAGGAGGAGCCAAGCTCTATTTTCCAGAGGCAACGTGTAGATGCATTACTTCTAGATCTGAGAAAAAAATTTCCCCCCAAGTTTGTGCAGGTAACAGTCAAGTAGTAAATTACAGTTTGCTACAATGAGATACTTTGTCAAAACTATTGAAGACCTGCTCTGAGCTGGACTCTGGCTTTTCAGGTCATTTGAGTTTGACTGATGTGGTAATTTAGCATGAAAAGGGTTTGAGACTGTTGTTCCCAAAGAACTGGATGGGATCTTCAGGCTGTGGAGAAGAGATAACCTGTGGGGGACCAAAAAAGAACCCCAACATTCTTGGATTCAGTGGTTCTGAAGAATTTTCATTCTGTCTCCAATCTAAAAAGAGAAGGTTTTTGAAAAAAAAATCCACTTTGCAATTCTGAAGGGACCTTAAAGAAATTATTACCTGGATCCTTTTCAGTTGAGCTTGAAACCAGGATGTGGTACTGAGATAACATTGTTCACATTCATAAATGACCAAATAGATGAAGAGCATAGCAGAAAAATATTTCATAGAATTTTAAAGTTGAAAGGAATCTTAAAAGTGATGTAACCGCCTATCCAATTTAGATCTTGTCAGATGCTCTAGGGGAATTTGTACTGAGCAGGAAATTAGATGAACCCTAAGGTTCTTTCCAATTCTATAATAATGAGAAACATTTTTTTGCTTTGCCATCCATCCCAGATTGTAATATTTTGAGTAGGCTTCCAGCAAGGAGAACTCATCACTTAATGTAATAGCCTGTTCCACTGGCTGCTAGCTTGTATAATTAGAAAGTTTTGCCTGACATTTATCTTAAACTGACTTCATTGTAATTTAACTCATTAGTTCTGGCCCTGCTTCTTAGGCAATAGAAATTAAATCCATTTTCTAACTGACAACCATTTGTGTGACTTGCTATGTTAATCCTGAATCTGGTTATACTAGATAGATTACAACCAATATTTCTTATTCTCCATTTGGGCAATGTTCAGTAAGAGAATGCAGTCTCATATCTACATCAAAAATATGTGCATTGTTGACTATTGACTTGGTTTTTCTCTTCGTTCACAGCAAAAATCTGGAGAAAAACCAGTCCCAGGTAAGAATTCGGTTAGTGTTTTTAAATGAGACCAAATACAGAAAATGTACATGATTAGATTTAATGCAGGCTCTTGAGAAGATAGTTTTGTCCAAGTTGGTCATTATTCATATCATTTTATGCATATGGATTGTCTGTAACTTGGATCCTAAAGAATTCCAAGCCTTCAATCTTTTTTTCCCCTTATGCCGTCCAAAGAGCAGGAATTTATGATTTTTCTCACAGGGAAAGAAAATCTGCATGTATCAATTTAGCAGTCTTGGTATTCTGGCAATTTTGAATAGCAATTCTGGTTTTAGGTTAAGGGAAGGCCACTTGAAAATGGCGGGGGGGGGGGAGAATTAAAAGCTCTTTAACTAGCTGTCATTTCTGCATTGCTCTGCTAAATGAAACTGTTTACTTTCAGATATAGGGTAATGGAATTGAGTTTGTTCCTTGGGCTTACTGGTAAAAATCAAGGTGATTCAATGAAGCTATAGCATTAGGAAATATCTCATGGTAGTGATAATGAGACATGTAAGTCTATTAGAATTAGACTTAATGTGGTTTATTTTTTCCCAGTGGATCAGATTAAGAAAGAATCAGAGCCAGCACCTGAAGCTATAAAACAAGAGGAGAAGGAAGCTGCAAAGACCACACAACAGAGTACAACTACTAAAGGGCCACCAGAGAAACGAATGAGATTACAATGACAGAAGGGAACATGGCATTCATAACTAGTGAGGACTTGGTGAAGAAACAGAGGTAAATAAGTTAGCTATTTAAAAATGGGACAGTAAACTGTGATATTTCCAAAATTCCAAAATTTGATTCTTCCTCCCATGTTAGAAACTTACAGCAACTTTCAGGATGGAATGACCTATTTCAGTTTTTGAGACTGAATTGTTCTTTGTGAATCTTTTGAACATTTTTTAGCCTTTATTTTCAATTGTAATCTCATACTTTTTATTAATGTCTTGCTGGAGTCTGAAACATCTTAATTTTTTCATAAATAGAGTGTGTTGTTCTGTCAGGTGTTTTCCAAATAAATTGATTACAGCAGTTCAGAGAGAGTTCTTTTTCTGAATTTTCACTTTCTCGCCAAGGTTAAATTCAAATTGAGATAGAAGATTATTTTTTAAAAAATCTTCTTTCCCACTACTTGGGTTATCGTATTGATCATTGGTGATTTTTCCCTTTTCAGGGGAAATTATTCTTTGAACAGCTTATGCATGGGAAAAAATGCCCATGATTTTGATACTTGCCTAAATATTGAAGTACAATAGCCAGTAAATAAGAGCATTGTAATATTTCATAGGCTTAGCTTCTCTCAATTACTGTAAATTTTTTTTAAAATGCAGGATGAGGTTTTATATGTACAGAATATTATGTGGTAGCTATTTTCTGGTAGTTTCAATACACTAGCTAGAAACATCTTACTCAACTCCCTGCAGAGAAAAATCCTGTAAGGTAATTGTCAATAAAATAATTTTGTAATCTTTGGTTTTTGTAAATATTTATTTGTTTTAAAGAAAGACTGGAGACAGAATATTTTTAAAGGATTTTTAGTCTTTCTCCTTGGCTTTCTACAGTACATGGTTTGTTTTTCCTTTTTTTTAAATTCTAAAAATGTTTTGTCCATTTGTACTTCTTTCCAGTCTACTTTTATATTATTCCAGTGAAAAATAAAACATTTTAAATGCCATTTACAAATTCACAGACATCTCATTTTGCTTCTCAATAGGCAAACTTTACTAATGTGGTATTTTCAAGTGTGCTGGATTAGCGTTAGCATGACTCTTAACCTTTCTGGATGAATATTTTATAAAGTATTAATGCAAGTTATTTGGAAGATCATAGATTGTAGAAAACTATTCTATTACTATATTCTTATCAATCCCCCCCTTGAATTATGAAGAGCTAATCATACTGAATAGGAACCCGGTGGCTCAGTGGCTAAGACACTGAGCTTGTCGATCAAAAAGATCGGCAGTTTGGCGGTTTGAATCCCTAGTGCTGCATAATGGAGTGAGCTCCCGATACTTGCCCCAGCTTCTGCCAACCAAGAGTCTTTTCAGGGGTTGAAGAAGTCCTCGTTTTGAAATTCATCTTTCAAACGGACAGTAAAATTATGTCTTCCTCTTAATCATCTTCAACAATTATTATTCTATCTTAAGCTAAGTTAAAAAGAGGTTCTTTCTAGCAACAGCCTGCTATACCTTTTTGAAGACCCATGCCATTTTGGGGATTTCTTTTTGTCTCAAAGAACAAGGAAGAAGGTTGCTAAGGCAAGCCTAATAAGGAAGTGTGCTGAGAAAACAAACAAACAAACAAAAAAAGCTGACAGAAAGATAAAGATTGAAAGCTGTGATTTTAGTTTACTATTGTAGTAACCGGTAGCTTGATCTTCCTAGCTGTGGGTGGCTAAAATCTTCTGATTCTGACAAAAGAGGAAGCCAAGATGGTGGGGCAAGGTATTAGAGATATATTTGAAAGGTCTCTAAATAAAATACGCCAATTTGTTGACTAGTTGTTCTCTGATGACAAAAAATCCTCTCAAAGTACTCCGGAGATGCAAACATGTGGAGAATGTTACTAAACTGCCGGGCTACTTCACAAGTAGCTGAAAATGCAGAGGAGTTTATCGCAGTTTTGGAAGAACCGGACATTAACTTTCACTTCCACCCTTACTATTATGATCCAAACGTAAACCTCTCAACACAACTGAAAGAAGAACGTCAAGAAAAAAGACAACTTTGGGACTTTTTCTTTGAGGACATTATCAAGGCTGAGGATCTTGTGATAAAAAGAAAGGCCTACAAAATGGATTTGAGAGTACCTGTATTAGGAGAAAGTTAAAGAAAATGATGTACCAGTTCAAAGAAAAATTCTGTAAAAAAAGGATATTTATAAAAGAAAAAAAATTATATAAAGGTAGTTGGGAGGGAGTGCAAAGCTTGTATGTTAAGTCAAAAAGATATGTTAGAAAATTTTGATTTAAAAAAAAGTTTTTTTTAAAAAAGTTTAGTACTTTGAAAGAAAAAAGGGGTGGGAAAAAAGAGTCCCCCCACTTTTTTTCAGTAAAGCCAAAGAATTAGAAAGAATACAATAAATTTGGTAAATAAAAATGGTGACAATTTACCAGGATTACTAGGTACAAATACAAATACACATTATTTCCATAGTAAGGAAGATAAAGCAGGAAAGGTTAAATTGGCTACTTTATTTAAAGAGGAAAATATGTTCTTGTTTGGATATCACTTTTGGAATTTGTGCTTGTGAAGAAAAAAATGAAACTTGGTTTTGTTGATTAGAAAGATTTGGTGTTCTAGGAATGGCTAGTTATATATTAATGTGTAAGAGCAAAAAGTTGAGGTTGGAATGTATTTATCTTGTACTATGCCAGGAAGAGTTGGAAATCAATGCCCCCTTTCCTTTCTTTTTCTCTTCCCCCTTGTATATCTCTCACCCACCCACATACACACACACCTGTTCCCTGCTTTCTTTTCCTCCTTTAATTTCCTTTTTCTTTTTTTCTTTGTATTTTATATAATAAAATTAAAATGATACATGTTAAAAAATGAATACAATACTTGTAATGAAGATAATACTTAATTCAGTGTCTCAGGAAAAAAAACTGAGATTCTCTAGATGCTAAGACTGGATTCAGGAAAAGGCTTAAATAGCAAAAAAAATACACGCAGGCATGTAGTGGAAAATGAAGAATTTGATACTCTGACAATTCAGGACACTGCCCTTTGTTGTCATTGTTTAAGTTGTTGGTGTTAGCCTCTTTTTCAATTCCCTCAACAGTAGGGATGTGCAGCATTTTGCTATTCATGAACAGAACACTCTGAAGAAGTCTATAATATTATTTTCCCTCTCTGGATCATGCTTAATCTCCTCTAGCCCATGCCATTCAGCAGTTGAGTGGTTTACAAAGGTAAATTCCCTGAACTGAAAGTAATTGCAGGAGGTTGACCAAACAGCTGAGGATTTTTTTTCTAGAAATTGCTAAATCAGTGCAGTTGGTCAGAGCATAGAACTTCCAAAAGTTTGGGTTTAGGTATTATCAATATGCTGATGATATCCAGCTGTATGTTTTGACCTTAGCCTGACCAGGTACTAACCCAGTGTGTGGAGGTTGGATGGGGAAGACAAGCTTAAACTCATTCCTGACAAGAGTAAGTGGCTGTGTTTGTTTGGGTCCCTGGATCCAGAGATATCCTATTGTTGACCCTGAGTGGCATTGCCCTTCCCCATTTGAAATTTGTGTGCAAAATAGGAACCTTTACAAAAGTACATCTACTGTACCAATTGCATGCTTTCCTGGTATCTCCAGATAATCAATCACACTCTGCTCATTTCATGGTTGCATAATGTGAAGAATTCTACATGGGGCTATCTTTGAAGACTATATGTTTATCTACAGTTGGTTAGGAAACCGTGGTAACAGGCAGGGATGAGAGGCACTATATTGTGTACATGTGACTCCAGTTCTGGATACAAATCATGATGCAAGTTATCACCTTTAAAATCATTACAGCTTAGTTACAAAGCAGTACCAACCTTACATGTTCCAGGGATCAACACAAACCTAGGGATCAGACAAACCACATCATCTAGAAATGAAAGGTAATCATGAGTTCAATTTCTCCCATAGCCATGAAAGCTGGCTGAGTGACTTTGGGCCAGTCCCTCTGTCTTAAGCCCAACTCACATCACAGGGGAAAATAGGAGGAGGAAGATGTGTTGGACATACATGTTCACTGCTTCGAGTTATTTGTAAAGTATTATGACAGGATACAAAGAAATAATAAATAAATAAATTCTCCAATCCCTTTTTTTTAAAGTAAGATAATGAGGAGGTATAGGGGAAAAAAAGATGCAATTCATTCCAAGGTGAGATACTGATGCCTTTAGGGTACGAGGTGTGATAATACTGCATATTTAGCATACTATTCATATACTGTCTTTCAGGATATAAAGTCTCACAATAGTGTATGTGGACATTATAAACAATATATAAGAATAAAATATTCAAATATATAACAAATGCATCTAAAATAAATGGAGTTAAGAATTGTTTAAATAGAATAAATGCCATGCAAATTGGATTTTTTTTTAAATCGCCAATTCATTCTTTTAAAAAAATAACACAAACCTCAGAAAAAGGGTGTGAATTTCGCATAAGTGCTCTTACCTTGAAATAGTCCTCCCTTAGCCTATCTTCAGAGTTAAGGACATTGCATTGTTCTATCACTTAAATTACTGGGCGCAGTAATTTAAGACACCTCACCAGTGAAGTGAGGGCTAAAATAGGATAGGGCTGTAATCCCCAAACCTATTTGGGGGGTTCCTTGTGTGCTTTCTGATCACAACTATTGAAAATGGAGGTAAGAAACAGAAAATGCAGAATCAGTCCTAAAATAGACTTTGTTAAAAAATTTTAAATCCCCAATTTTTTTTTGTCCAAATCCTTGGAAGAAACAGAATATTCTGCTCTAATTACATATGTTGCATCTTATTTTACCTGATTGTTCTTCTGTCTCCAATTATGTTCAGAGCAATAACTTTCTGCCTAAAGGTTTCCCACCTCTATAAGAGCAGAGGGCTAGAGAACTCAATTGACTCAAGAATATTTTTGACCTTCGAAATATATCAATAGAGTGCAGTGGTGGTTCCGGAACCCGTTGCAACCGGTATGCTGCAACGGGGTCATGCGTCCACCACGTGTACGTGTGCAGCACACAAATAGTGCATGCATGCGTACTTACCTCCTGCGATGGTCCAGATGCTCAGCGGAGCATCGCGCAGGCGCCGTACGCTCAATGTGTGTGCGTGACAGCCCCGGTCGGCTCAAATACAGGTAAGGAGGGTGCATGGGCCCTCCAGAAGACGGTACCGGCACGCCCATACTGGGGCGTACCGGTCTTATCCCACCACTGATAGAGTGCTTTGTACCTAAGGATATTTGTCACATGCCTGACAATCAGGATGGAAAATAGGGGCCTTGCTCTCATCAATTATCTGAATGTATCAGGACCCAACACAACTCAGTTAGAGAATTCAGGAGGTAAAGTTTTTCACCATTATAAACCCCAAAGGAGTAAGAAGCCTCAGTCATCAAAGGTTGATCTTAACTGTTTGGAAATGGTGGAATCTTCTGGATATTGTTGAAAGCTCCAGAGATACAGAAAGACTACTTAAGCCCAGACAAAGCTACATGGATATTGCTCAGCATTCTATCTGCTGAACTAGCCAGTAGATAGTTAAGCTTACTTCTTGTTAAGTATAGTTAAGTTTGCTTTCCTTGCCTTTAATCAGTAAGATAACAATCATAATTTATCTTTGCTCTTGAATTTAGTTTTCCAGGATATATCTAAATAGAATACATGGATGTATCCAATGGGATGGCCAGTGGAATAAAGATACCTGAGGATAAAGAGGCTTCTTAAAAGCAAAGTATTGTCCCCATCCCCTTAGTGTTGAGAATGAAACTTTGCTTCTGTTTCAATGACTTGGGACTAGGGTGGTCTGGAATGGCAAAATAGCCTACCTGATGGAATAGATCAATCCTATTGGACTCTGCCTGCCAACTAGAGGGAGGGGCTTTCCTGAAAGTTCTGGAATGCCCTCCAAGAAGATACAGGAAAAAGCCGTTTGCTACACAGCCAAAGGGAACTCCATGGCTGCCTTCCTCCCGCTACAGTGGTGGCGGTGGAGTTTTATTTTTATCCTCTGCCTTCCGCCTTGCTGCTTCCATCACTGTCACTCTCCAACGTGAGACAAGCCCTCCCCTCCCTTGGCCCCTGAAGGGAGAAATGGGGTTGGGTAATGCCAAGAGAGTATTTTTCTGTCTTGTTCTTGTCTCTGGGATATTCTGGAGTCAGCCCATTTGTCATGTACCACCTCAGGGGTTTCCCTTCATTTCTTACGAAGTTATTATCCCAAGAAGGATGGCACCCCGACGAGGCCGGGAACCGCAAGACCTTACTTATTTAATGGAGATAGAAGGGAAAGGCCATGTGGTACACCTCAGGCAGAAGAGGAATTTCGTTCCTAAACACTTCCCCGTTTTTACCTACAATGAGGATGGAGACATTGAGGTGGACTACCCTTTCATCAAGAATGACTGCTTTTACTATGGCTTTGTACATGATGAGCCTTCATCTCTAGTCACCCTCAGCAGTTGCTCAGGAGGACTCAGAGGCTTTCTACAAGTAGGCAACAAGCTCTATGAAATCGAACCTCTGCACACGTCTACTTTTCAGCACGTGGTCTACAGACTGGAAGAGAAGGGGAATGATATCCCAATGAGGTGTGGAGTAATGAAAGAAGACAAAAATCACCAGGAGGCCATGATCCAGAACAGAGAGAATATTGTAAGCAAAAGTGCTTTGAGAGGACTATGGCAAACATACCCCAGGTACATGAAGATAGCGATTGTAGTAGAACATGAACGATATGTCCAATTTGGTAAAAATGAAACTGTCACTGCTAGGCAAGTCCTGGATGTTGTTCACCTTGCAGATTCGCTGTACAAGCCTCTTGGGATTCATCTGGTGGTTGTTGGATTAGAAATATGGTCACAAAAGAACCTCATTGCAATAGCCAAAAGCATAGACGAATTGCTTGACACGTTCAATACATGGAGGAAAACGATACTTGTCCAGCATCTAAGACATGATGTTGGCCATTTATTTGTATATAAGCATTTTGGGATTAAGTTTGGATTATCGTTTGTTGGATCGGTGTGTGATCCGAACTGGGCATCTGCTGTTGAGGCATTTATTACTTCTAGTTTGTTTTCTTTCACAATAACTTTTGCTCATCAACTGGGTCATAACCTTGGTATGCAGCATGATGAGAAATCATGCACCTGTAAACAGCATTCTTGTATTATGGCTCCCTTCCAAAGCAACACAAGTAAATTCAGCAACTGCAGTTATACCAGTTATTCTAAGCTAGTGGATACTAGTAGAAAACAATGTCTGTTAATTCCGCCAGAACACGAGAAATTGTATGATCTCAAAAATTGTGGCAACCAGGTGGTAGAGAGTGGAGAACAGTGTGACTGTGGTTCAAAGTTCCATTGTGAATCAGATGCATGTTGCCAGTCTAACTGTATGTTGCGTTCAGGAGCCACTTGTGCTTTCGGAAAATGCTGTGCTGACTGTCAGCTTCTTCCAGCCGGAACAGTTTGTAGAGAAAGGACTAACATGTGCGATCTTCCTGAATACTGCACCGGAATTTCAGAGTGGTGTCCTGAAGATGTTTATGTACAGGATGGAGCTCCATGCTCTGATGGAGGCTATTGCTATCATGGAGAATGCTCTTCTCACAGTCAGCAATGCAAAGTTATCTTTGGCAAGGAAGCCTTGGCTGCCCCACTGGAGTGCTTCAAAGCAATAAATTCTCGAGGGGATCGTTTTGGCAATTGTGGCATTATTCCTGGTAATATGTATAAGAAGTGTCGGAGCAATAATGTCTTGTGTGGCAGACTCCAGTGTGTAAACATTGGTGAAGTGCCTGATTTGAATGAGCAGACTGCCATCATTCAAACTTCTCTTAGCCACCAATTTTGCTGGGGTACAGATTCTCCAAGTGGAATTGGTGTAGCGGATATTGGAGCAGTGAAAGATGGCACACCGTGTGGCCTCGGCATGATATGCATTAATAGTGATTGCATCAAGGTCTCCCTCCTGAACTATGATTGTAATCAAACCAAGTGCCACGCCAGAGGAATATGCAACTCTCATAAACATTGTCATTGTAACTCTGGTTGGGCTCCTCCATACTGTCTAAAGAAAGGCAGTGGTGGCAGCATTGATAGTGGTCCTCCTCCACCCAGCAGTGCCAGTGAAAGAAGGACTAAAGGCATTGTAATAGTTCTTTCTGCTGCTGCTCTTCTAGCTGGGTTTGGCATCTTATAATGACCTGAATGTCAGATGACAGACTTCGATAACTCCGATTCCGACACGAGGACAAGTGTCCAGCCTGATATTACAAACTCTTAGGAGGTTAGGAGGATATAACAAAAATCCTTTGTGCATTGTGCCGCAAATAATGCATTTTGTTTCTTGCAATTTGTCCTCTAAAGGTAGTTTTCCAATTTTTATCGCTGTAGCTTTCTAGGCTTATGAAAAGCCTTATGACACTCTGAATGTTATATTGGGTGGGCTAAACATTTAGATAATTATTGGGGAATATCCACAAGAACTCTGTTGCAGTTCATTCCCCTCCTTATTGAAATGGGTGGTGGTTGCAGACTATGTGGATGTAATCCAGGCTATTAGGAAAACCCATCACTTAAAAATACAGAAAAAAAATCAAACTTTATCCACTACTTTAAATGGCTCTTCCTATAAAAATTGCTGCATGGAGGGAAGAACTGAAGTTTCTTGTTGTTAAAGCTGAACCCGCTTGGTACTTAACAAATTGGTATCATAATATTTCTGATTCAAATACTTTTGAAAGTATTTTTTGAAAGTATGGGCAGCGTATAAAAATTGGATTGGAAGTGGACAATGATAGAGCTGCTTAGAGAAGTAAAATGGGTACCTAGACAGATCAGGTTCACAATGACATCTTCAGTTGATTTATCTGAATGGCCTATTATGATGAGATGCATCTTTACATGTGCACATTTTAAATGCCATTTTGAAAAGGCAAAAGTGCAGCTGGGGCTGATCGTATATGTACTGTGAATGGGAAAAGGACCAGATGATTAAGTAGCAAAGTCAAAGGTCGCATTTTGCTTAGGAGGAACATTGCTCTAAACTCTACAGTAAGAGCAGTACCATTGGGCTTGTAGTGTTTGACATTTCTCTAGAAAAGAATACCTCAAAATTTCACATCCAGGAACATTTTGCTCAAGAGCTGCACTTGTATCATTAATTACAGAGATTTGCAAAGGTGTTGAACACGAGATCAAATACTGCACAGAATCATAGTATATAAATAATCTACCACAGACCACGTTAACCTGTGACAATATATTTCTTCTAGTGGGTTTTTATATATTTAATACAAGATTTGAGGTAGTGGTGAAATTGTTTGGTGCTCGTACCAACACTCCCATTGACTTCAGTGATATATAATCATGTGTAACTGTATTGGGAAATGCAGCATCTGCTTGCAGCTTAATTGTTACCCTGCTATTCTGTAGTGACTCCAGTGTATTAACATCGATTCAGAAACGGTTTAGTAAGCATGAGAATAAACACATTATTGTAAAATTGTGATGACAAAAATTGTAGTTTGTTCAGATTTTTTTCTGTAGTTTTTGCAGGAAACACAAGTGCAAACCAGCAGAGTTTTATATGCAATAGCAGCAATGCTCCTTCAGCAATCAAACATCTGGAATGAATACATTATTTCTGGAATTGGGTAATATAATATTGCTGTCATTATTTACGAAAACTCAACTTAAATTTTAACCATTCTGTATCATTTATAGTCTGCCTTGCCCACTATTTTATCTTTGAATTTCTTTTCATAATTCGTACGCGACAACTGCATTTGTTATCACTTGAGATTCCTGTAAGAATTCATTTGTATTTCTGAACAGTAACACTTCTTCAAAACAGACTCAGTTTACCATATATCTTTAAAAGAGGGATCTCACCCGGTTATCGTATATTACTTATCACATTGTATAATACAGTAACTACTTTCAAATGTGCTTTGTTATTGTATAACCATGAGAATTATTACTTTTGGGGATTATTTCAAATTATTTAATAAATTATTTTATACTTATTCAGCTGCTGTACTCTTTAGATTTTTATTCTTCAGTAGTGATTTAATTAAAAAGCTATGTGGTTTTTTTCTCAGTGTAACATGTTATTCAAAGATTATTGAATCAGAGGTTTTGCTATGAATGTATCTTAACCTCCTGGACCATGCAGCATCTATCCATAAGCAACATTTTGTTAATTTTCTGTTAATTTGAAAATAGTACCCAAAGTACAAACCATTGTACATGATTTGTATGTCTGGTGCTTTATTGGTACAGTGTTCTTCAGTCTAATGAATATCCCTTTTATGTGGCTAATGCATTGATTTAAAACTGAGTGTTCAAGAATAGAAAATGGGTTTAATATTCTAATTACATTGTATTCGGTATTCATTCAATTTTTCATAAAATTTCACTATTTTTAATTATGTGTTTGATGGAAGTTTTATTTCATCCTAAATTCTTTGCCAATGAATAAACATTCTCAATAGTTCTTTGTAATAGAGGAAGCAGAAAAAACTGTTTTTCAAAAATCAGAAATCTTCTGAAATACTTTCAGTATTACACCTAAATACTGAAAATTGGCATTATTATTCAGATTGCAAATAACAAAATCATAGGTAATTTTATTGTGGCCCAGTATGCGCCCAAGGGGATGCGGTGGCTCAGTGCCTAAGACGCTGAGCTTGTCGGTCAGAAAGGTTGGCAGTTCTCTAGTGCTGCCTAACGGAGTGACCTACCGTTACTTGTTCCAGCTTCTGCCAACCTAGCAGTTTGAAAGCACGTAAAAAATGCAAGTAGAAAAATAGGAACCACTTTTGGTGGGAAGGTAACAGCATTCCATGCACCTTCCGCGTTTAGTCATGCCGGCCACATGACTACCGAGATGTCTTCTGACAGCGCTGGCTCTTCAGCTTTGAAACGGAGATGAGCACTGGCCCCTAGAGTCGTGAACAACTAGCACATAAGTGTGAGGGGAACCTTTACCTTTATAGGAGATTCATAGTCACAATACTAAACCAATGCTTGCAGGGTAACTAATTCCCTTGGTTTCATGGACTTAAGGAAGGTAATAATTTTCTTGTCACAGGACTGCTTGAATTCATTAGATCAGAATGTTTAATAGTACTTTTCTTAGGATCAAATGGAAATAAGTAAGAAAGCTATATCCCAGGATGGGAGGAGGAAGCTTTACTTTTCTCCTCATTCAATGTGTTGCCAGATTTTTGAGGAATGACTCCAGATTGTGAAATTCTCTTCCATGCTTTACTATTGGGCACTTTGTAGGTGTGGGTGGCAAATTTTGAGAGTCCTTTCCAAGGCAAAGGCAGATGTGTGCATGTATGCATGTATATTTTTATGAATGTATTTGTATGTATATGTACATATATTTTATTATTAATATGATACAACTACATGATATACACTATATACAAGTAGAAAGACAAATTTCCATCGAGGTTGCAAGTTGGAATTCTAATTTAGAGACAGGAGGACAGTTTTTATTGGTGTTATTAAACAAGTAGAATGATAATCCTTGTCATTTCATTCAGCAATTTATTCAGAGATTATAATCTATGAATAACACCATATACCAATAGGAACCTGTCAGCAGCTGTAAAAATCAAAATGGCTTCTTCTAGGTAATGTGAAACTTCTTTTAAAGAGGAGGACAACATGAACAAGAAAAATAATTCAGGTCTGTGCTTTACCTTCCTCAAGATATAGGATTGGTTTAATGGAATATTCATTTGATCATATTTTGATTCATATCTTTATTAATCCACAGAATCTGTGTCAAAATAAGGCCACCTATTTTTTTTCTTATTTTTGATGCTTTCTGAACTCATGCCTACATTACTGAGTCATGATGAAATGTCTTAATTTAATTTTTTAAAATTTTTTCTTTCTTTACTAAATTTATTTCCCAACCATCTTGTTTCGAAGTAACTTGATATGGAAAAGTGTACCATAAATAAGATATGATTTATCTGTTCAGCAAAATACTTGGGGATGGAGGGAAGAGAACCCTCTTCCTGCCAGTCTGTTCCATTCTTCATCATCCAAGCTCCACCCACATTCCAAAGGAAGCTACGTAACTGTTGCTATATACAGAATCCTCTTCATCATCTTATTTACATCTGAGATTCTTTCCAGCTTCTCACTACTCTGTCATCTACTTTAAGAGAGCTTCCTTCTGGAAATGAAATATGAGAAGGTGTGCTTTCCATATTTCCTTTTGCCACGAAAAAAGACCATCCATCTTCTGTGGCTCTTGATGTTCCTCAGTAATCTCCTAACTGTGACTACCAGACAAATACTTCCTCAGGGCTATATTTACGCTTCTTATGAGGTGACCATCCCACAGTTATTCACTGTAAAAGCTGGACAACAGGAACAACAGAATGTCACTTGTCTCCTTCAGTTTGAGGGAAAGAAAATCATCATGCACCTCACACAAAAGAAGAATTTTGTTCCTAAGCATTTGCCTATCTTCACCTATAGTAAGGATGGGGATCTGCAGCTGGACTATCCATTCTTCAGGGATGATTGCTACTACCATGGTTTTGTGCAGGACAGACCCTTCTCTCTGGTCACTCTCAGTTTTTGCTCAGGAGGTCTCAAAGGCATACTGCAGTTAGAAAATAAGACATATGAAATTGAACCAGTACAGGGTTCTCCTACCTTTCAGCATGTGATATTTCGTTTAGAAGAAAAAGAGACTGCTATCCAAATGAGATGTGGCCTAACCCAGGAAGAGCAAAAACATCAAGAGACCATGTTCCAAGACATAGAGAATGTAGTTTCCAAAACTGCATCCAAAGGAGACTGGTGGCTTCGCACTCGATATGTAGAAATTGCTTTTGTGATTGAACATGAACGTTATTTAATGTTTGGCAGAAATGAAACTGTTACTGCTTTGCAAGTTCTTGACATTATTCATATTGCCAATTCTTTTTATGAACCTCTTTCTGTTCGGTTATCTGTAGCTGGACTGGAAATCTGGTCACAAAAGAACTTCATGACGATTTCTCCTGCCATAGATATCACTCTTCAGGATTTCACTGACTGGAGGAGAGACTTCTTGGTTAATCATCTAAAAAGTGATGTTGGTCACTTATTTGCATATAAGTCTTTTGAATTTTCACTTGGGTCAGCTTATGTAGGAACAATTTGTGATGAAAGGATGGGATCTGCTGTTATCTCATATAAGACTACCAGTTTGTCCATTATCAGTAGCATATTTGCCCATGAATTAGGGCATAATCTTGGCATGCAGCATGATGAACAGTACTGTAGTTGTGGTAACGCTTACTGCATTATGGCTCCAGTTCATAAAGTGACTGATAAATTTAGCAATTGTAGTTATAATGACTATTTTCTCACAATGAATACTCCATGCTTGTTAAGTCCTCCAGACCCTGGTAGAATCTTTAAAATCGAATCATGTGGCAATAAAGTAGTAGATAAGGAAGAGCAATGTGACTGTGGTTCAGAAGCTCAATGCAAGCTGGATCCATGTTGTCAGTCTAATTGTACATTTCGGTCTGGTGTCAGTTGTGCTTTTGGTGAGTGCTGCGCTAAGTGTCAATACCTTAAGTCTGGAACTATTTGCAGAAAGAAGACTAACTATTGTGATCTTCCTGAATACTGCAATGGGACTTTTGAGTGGTGTCCAGAAGATGTTTACATGCAGGACGGTGCCCTATGTAGTAAAGATGCGTACTGTTATCATGGAAGCTGCATATCTGAAGATACGCAGTGCAAAATGATTTTTGGCTTCAGTGCAAAAACTGCTACAGATCTTTGCTTTAGAGAAATGAATGCTAAAGGCGATCGCTTTGGCAATTGTGGCCTTAAACATGGCATTTACCACAAATGTCAAACTAAGAATACTCTGTGTGGCCGAATCCAGTGTGAAAATGTCCAAATCTTACCTTCTTTGGAGGAACACAGCACCATAATTCAAGTCCCTCTTGGTGATAAGCAGTGCTGGAGTACAGGCTACCACAGTGGAATGAAGACAGCCGATATTGGAGCAGTGACAGATGGAAGTCCTTGTGGCAAAGACAAGATGTGCATTAACAGAAAATGCGTGAGCATGTCTCACTTGAATTATGACTGTAACTTCACCAAGTGCCATAATCGGGGAGTGTGCAACAGTCACAAACATTGTCATTGTGATTATGGCTGGGGTCCTCCAGATTGCCTGAAGAAAGGGCATGGTGGTAGCATTGATAGTGGGCCTCCTCAACCACGCAAACGTTTAACCACTATTGCAAAAGCTGGGATTATTGGAGGGATTATATATGTCTTTTCTTCTGCTTTTGTTTTGGTTAGCGTAGGGATATATTTTAGATACGGATTTATTCACTTATTTAGAAGGCTTAGAAGAACTGAGCCATCAACTACAGAAGCGAGTGCACAGTAAATCACAGAAATGAAGTATATCAAATATGTTCAGAAGGGTTAATGGATATTATTATATAAAATTTATTTGAGCCTCTGGAATTTTGGTATTAATTTATCTTGCTGAAAAATATTGAACTTAATTTCAGGCAGTGTCATTTGTAAAAGTTCTGTTTTGGTGCCTGGGAACCAACTCTCTGGTAAAAGCTGAAAACATTTCATTGGGAATTTACTACACTAATTAATTACCAAAGAAGAAGAAGAAAATAATAATATAGCATTGCCTTTTCAAAATTCTAGCCGAAACATAGTATGGGTGATTAGGATAAACTGATCTTCCTGAAGCAAACTTCTTCGCAGCTATTGCTCAAAGAGGAGGAAAATATTGCAACAACAACAACAAAAATCACTCATTGTTTTTATGGATTGTACAGGTATCAACCTATATCACATTTTACTACTACCGTGTTTCCCCGAAAATAAGACAGGGTCTTATTTTTTTTTGCCCCAAAAATGTGGCTTGGGCCTTATTATCAGAGGANTGGAAACCCAGGAAGCTTTCAGATTTGGGTTTCCACAGATGTACCAACATGTCTCTCATTAAATTGGAACTTTGATGAAAGCTATGCCTTGAATTCTGATTTAATTCTGGATGATATTTGGAACACTGACCCTCTGCCTACCAGGAATTAAAATCTGAAAATTCCCCCATAGCCTCTAATCCAAGTAGTCCAATTAGCTGCTATTGTTGATTGTACAGGTAGTCCTCGGCTTACAATAGTTCATTTAGTGACTGTTCTAAGTTACAACGGCACTGAAAAAAGTGACATGACCATTTTTCACACTTATGACCATTGTAGCATCCCCATAGTCACGTGATTCACATTCAGATGCTTGACAACTGACTCATT